ATGCAGATACCAGGGGATACCAGGGTGTTAAGGATTCATTCTGCCCAACCAGATCTAAGCCATCGAAGAGCTCTGCACCTATGGGCAAGCTGCCTAACCTCTCTGTTCCTCAGTTCTTTTATTTACAGAAATGAACAGTATCCACAGAGCTGCTGCAGAGACAGAATGAGGCTTTGGATGTGAGGTCCCTGGATCAGTGCCCACTGGCACACAGTCGATGATATATGTGAACTGTCATTAGGCATCACAGCCAGCTTTCTCACCATTGGCTCTGCGGAGAAACATCAGGGCAAGGTGACTCCCAGAAAGCCAGTCCTAGAAGTCCCACTTCAGAGAGTGGTCAGCTGGAGCCACAACTGATGTCCCACAGGGATTGAGAGACTCCTCCAACTCTGAGGTCTAAGTAATCAGGAAGGAGGGGGTGGTCAATATGTCATTTTGTGTAAAACCCCAATTTACATGTTAAAGTGACCATATCAAAAGGACTATCAACCCTGGACTCGTTCAGTCCACACTCAAGGACCCCAACATTTCCACACACTAGGGGATTCTCACCTCTCATGACTGTACTCTTCAGGAGAATCCTTGTCTCTCTGTGGTGTAGGGGGATATGTGCATGTGGGAGCCTGAAAGGGTGAAAGGTTAAGCCCATAAACCCAAAGATGCCAGGGATGGAATGTAGGGCCTTGCACACTCTAGGGAAGAGTTATTCCATGAAGCCACACCCCTATCACCCCAAAGAGACTACTTTTTAAAATGCCATTCTCCTTCTACTTCACTGGGTAGTAGTAGCAGGGCTAAGTTTTCAAAGCAGTGAAAATAATATCAATTCTAAGCCTGCTTAGCCCAGGCCTCTTCCAAATCCACCAGGGTCTGCCTGGCCCCAGTCTGCTCCCCCCTTCCTCGTGGGAGTTCCTTGGAAAAAGTAGCTGTCCTGAGATCACACATTGCGCAGTGGGCAGAATGTTCTCCAATAATTTCTTCCTAGCGATGATAGGCTAGCGCCTTCCAGAGTGCTGAGTTTGACAGGCAATCTGTCTTCATTTCAAAATGTCCCTTAAGAAAAACAGTCTGTTACACTCTGGCCAACACTTTTTGATGGAAATGAAATCTGACCCAAACGTCAAACTCTGTGTCTTGGGATTTCACGAAGGACCGGGGTAGCTGCAGTGGGTAAGGGACACCCAGGAAACTTGCTGCTGCTGGCAGATCATGCCCAAAGCTGCCCTCGGTGCATTTTTGTGGAAATGATAGACACTGATGCCCTCCCCGTGTGTGTGATTCACATCGGAAAGGATCATTTAGGCTAGAAAAGAGATCGCGCACAGCCGGCAGGAACGTTCCCCGTCCACCGGCCTTTGAACCCACTGAAGCGTATGTTTCGGGAAGGAAATAGAGCAGAGCCAAATTTGCCAGCCATGTGAAAAAGGTGAAGGGGGTGCTTCCGGCCCCAGAGGATCCTGAGCTGGCTGCTATCTGGCTCCCAGGGCTGGGTCTTCAGGGTGTCTCTCTTCTGCACAGAGAGAAGGTACCCTCAGAATCAGGGTGGTCCCCAGAATGAGCTTCTGCTTCCCTCAGAAAACTCTGGCGAATCCAGCAGGCTGTTCTCTGGTGAGCAGATCTGACTTCAAACTAGATCTGGGATGTTCAAGGGGCTTCTAATGCCTCAAGATTTCCAGAGGGAAAGATAGTAACAGAAACAGCTAACATTTGTAGAGAACTTCCTAAGGGCCAGGCAACTGAGTTAATCTCTTCACACACATTTTAAACATTTAATTCACAGGAGGCAGGTGCTCTCATTGCCCTTTTACAAATGTGCACTCTGAAGCTGATTTTTCCTTTAAAAAGAAACAAACAATCCTTGGCAGGTAAATCCTGCATTAGGCAAGGCCCTGTGAGCCCTAGATGCCTTCTATTCTGATTTGAAAAACCCCGATGGAAAACATTCCTTCTTGGAACGTGTCTTCTGTCAAAATGAGATCCAAAAGGCTAGAGGCGTCAGTTTCCAAGTGTGTGGACTCTGGCTCCAAAAGCAAATGTCAGGGCATCTATGATCCACACACTCAGGTCTGCAGCAGCAGTGGATTCTGCTCTGGCCTCTCCTCTTCTCCTAGCCCCTACAGCAATGAGAGTGGTCCCTCACACACTTTCCCCTTCAAGAGGGACTACAACTCCATCCTTCCTTATCGGCTGCTTCTCAGAAAATGCTATATCTTGGGCTGTCCATCCCAGGGGATGAGTGATTTACATCCTTTCATTTGGCACGCATCTTTGTACAGAATGGATATGACTCGCTGAATGTCACCAGGTAGGGGCAGGGGAGCCAAGCAGAATCCCAGTGAAACCTTCTAGACCTGTGCAAAATGGCCCTGGGAAGGTCCCTGCGTATTTTTCTCTGGAGGGAACAGGGAAGAGACAGCACATCCTGCAAGGTGGCTTAAGCCCCATCCTGGCTCTGCCTCTTTCTGCTTCTGCTTATCTGCTTGGTACTTCACAGGAGGAGGACTTTCCATTCTGACACAAACTAGGCAGCTATGGGCCTAGGGGAGGAAGGCTTTCTTCGGGGACTGCATTAGTGGCAGAAATCATGGGCAACAATGGGCTCAGCTCTACACCCATCTGATCAGAGGAGGCCTGTGATCTCTTTGCTTTCTTCCTATGCTCCTTTCTCATCTCTCTCCATGGATATCTGGGTCTGTGTCCCCTCACACAAGCCATTCCTGTCTTCGCAGGAATGGATGCCCAGCCCAGCCCTATTCTCAGCATGTGGCAGGCACTTTGTGTTTGTTGAGTGAATAAAAAACAGTCATCTCATTTTCCTCAGTACAGATCTGGAGCCTTAGGGTTTCTCTGAGGTGCTCTGAGAAGATGGCAAAGCCTGGCTTCAATGTTTAGGGCAGATGATTCTCCATGACCAAAACCAGTGAGTGACAAATGCACTAAGAAAGGACATAGATTCACAGGACTTGGAGGGACTCTGAGATCACACTGTCCAGCCCTCTTATTTTACAGCAAGGAAACTGAGGCCTAGACAGAAATGACTTGCCCAAGCTATTCACTGCTGAGGTCTAGGGCTCTAACTCTAGTCCAGTCATTTCTCCTGATCTCTGCCTTTTTACTGGAAGAGTTTGCCAAGGCAGAGTCCAGCTTCTCCCAGCTCACTCACGTGAAGCCTGACCAGCCTCAGTCACAGGTCCAGGCCACTCTGATCTTCTCAGCACCCATCCCTGGTCTAAGTCTGCAGCCATCTGCCCTCACACTCACTTTCAGGCTAGCTCATTCCTTGGCTTTCTTGGTCTCCCCCACAGTCTCGCAGAGAGGATGAAAATTAGTTTTTATCGTGGTGCTCAGCATGAACTTGGCCGATTAAAAAAAAAAACCACAAACTCTGTGTTCCCCACACCAGACCAGTGTGGGCCTTGTGCATTAGAGTCCAGGAAAGGCCACATGGGGACTGTGGGGAACAGAAGAAAACAGCCCAAGCCTATGCAGGAAGCAGGGCCACTCCTGTCCCCAGAGAAGAGAGACACAGGGTCACCTGGGGGTGTGGGCAGTTGGAAAAAATGAAGGGAAAGTAATGGGAAGGGGCAAAGACATGAAAAGTGGGCAGGGATGAGCCAAATGGAGGGTTGCCTGTGGAAAGAAGAAAAATGAGGTCTTTTTCTTCCTGTGTTCCTGGACATATGCCAGATTCCTGAATCATTCCCTCAGAGCACCCTCACAGCAAGGTGGAGGTAAAGGGACAGAGGAGAGGCGGGAGATGAGAAGGAAGGAGGGTGAAAGGGAAATACTGGGTATTTATCGGTTTGATTCCAGTCTGCAGGCACTCTGCATGGCCTGCAGGAATTTCAAGGTCCCTCTGAGAGCTCTAAGCTTTGGCTTTCCTACCTGCACTCAGGCAGACACTCATCTTTGAACCCAGGAAGGTGACAGGGTCTGCCCCCTGGCGGGCTCAGTTCCAGCTGAACCTGAGCAGAGTCTGTCCCCAGTGACACAAAGGATGCCCAGCCCCATTCAGAGAAGACAACTGGACCTCCCTTCCTAATCCTTCTCTCCCACTTTTTCCCTTCTTCACACAGAGAACAGGGACTTGTCCCCTCAGTAACAAGCCCGCTCCGTGAATATGAAACCTATCTCTCAGCTCCTACCCAGGGCCCATGCCTGGGCAGAAGGAGCCCTTGAGTCTCCAGGGGCAGATATAAAAGGGAAAGGTTCAAAGAAACACTTCGACTGATTGTTCCCAGAGAGAAACAAGGGCACGATCATTCCCTGCTGGTAAGGACCTTCAAGAAGGAAGTCAGTGTAGTTGGCCAAGTAGAAAAAAGCACACTAGGGAGTGGCAGGGCCCAGGGGCCTTATTATTGTTCCCAGGGGAGGAGGGCTCTGGGGTCTTCACCTCAGTCCCAGGAAAAGCCATCCTGCCGCTCTGCAGAAGAGGCCAGTGTGAAGACAGTTTTGTTTTGTTGCAATTTTGTTGGTCAATGTATATTTCTGGAACATGGTATTTTCTTGCTCTAAGAACCTTACATATCACCCCTTCTTTTTTTTCTTCATGTTTTGCCTCCATCAATGCGATAATGAGCCTGGGGATAGGATCCTAGTGAGTGGACAGGTGAGCAAGAGAGAGTGGATTGGGATCTGGCACTGACATACCCTTCTATATTTTTTGGCTCTCTCTTGTCCTGGCTGGTGGCAGAGAGAACTTTTTGCCTCCTTTGATAGAAAGCAACTTTGATGCCTGGAATGACACCTGGTCCTAGAGCCCTTGATGAATGAACCCGAAGGGAGGCAAAAGCTCAATTCAGTGGGGACGATTGGCTAAAGATTACGTCACTCTGGCCCACCCACTCCGACAGCCAATCAGAAAGCTGTCAGGACAGGCGCAAGATTTAGAGAGTGGGAAATCGCTGAGGCTTTGGATCCTGGCTGAGATCTTGGGAGCCTGGGCAGGTAGGGTGGAAATGAGGGAGCTTAGGGCGCCCGGAGCGCGGGGCACTCACTCCAGAACGTCGCGGTTGAACTGCTTCTTGCTGTTGCCCAGGAACTCTCCGACCATCTGGCGGCTGAGGCCCTTGCGCTGGAGGAGGAAATGTGCCACGCCAATGGGCGTGTCAGGGATGAAGCCGCGCGATATCAGGAACTGGATGCCCTTGTCCGGGTTTCTGGGGAGGCGTGTGCGTGGGGAGAAGTAGTAGTGAGCTAAGTAAGACCGCCTGGGACTTCTGTCCACCACATCTTCCAGCCGTGAAACCCGTAAAAGAGGCCAGAAATCCTTGGAAACCGAGTTCCCAGGACTACCATCATGCAGACGCCCCCAAGGAAGTACCTCTCCCTGGACCCTCCTCACACTGAGAATGGGCAAAGGGCTGGGATGGGAAAGAAAGGAGGCCGGGAGCAGCAAAGAGGACCCTAGAGGAGGTGAGGAGAAGTGCTCCTCTCTGTCTGTCTGCCTTGGAGGCCCTGCTGTGCTCCTGTGTCCTGAGGTCTATCAGATGCCCTCACCCTGGAGCTTGGAGAGAGGGTGAGGGAAATGGACTCGAACTTCCCTGCCATGTACCCTCTTCCTTCTGCACAGAGGACACAAGGATCCTGTGTCCAGTATCCCCTTCTCCGGTACAAGTCTGTCTGCATGGGTGGGGGCTGCATCTGCACTCAGTCTGCAGAGCCACACTACTCCCTGAGCTGTATCTTACTGGGTCCAGAGAAGGTAGGTAAAGAGATAGAGAATAAGCATTTGGAAGCGTTTATAGCACTTTGACATTTTGGGGACCACCAACCATGTTGTGCCTGTTTTTTAACAGTTCATTTTTACTGTGTTTTACAAAAGCATCTGTCCACAATGTATGGGGTGGGGCAAACTGGTGTGTCCCTAGAGGTGGTCTGAGAGTCGCTGTCTTGAGGGGTATGAATGTTGGTTTGAGTTTTGTGCGCGTGCAGAAGTGATCCTGTGGTTATGGGGGTGGGCAGGGTTGGGGCTGTGCTCACTCAGCAGCAGCCTGAGGTTGGAAAGAGAACAGTAGATTTTGTCCTAGCAGTGTAACGGGGTGCAATGTGCTTCGCTTGTGTGAGAGTGTTTCCTCTTCTGTGAAACGACAGCAGGTGCTTTGTCTAGGAGCTGTGAATGGTAGTGAGGGTCTGGAGGTCAGGGGCTGTGTCTTACTCATCTTCATGGTCTCAGCGTTTGACAATCAGTAAGCAGTTGAGTGAGTGCATGAACACACGTTGGCCGGAGACATGGCCTTCTGGGCCCAGAACTATGGGGAGGTGGGGGTAGGGTGATGCCGGTCCTAGGGACTCATTTTGGTGACAGGAGCATGCCTGTTTTCTCTGCTTCTTGCTCACTGTATACATTTTGTTTGCAAGAAATGATCTGATTGAAGCCTCTGAATTAAGATAGTCATTCATTTCTCTCTTTTGACCCCTCCATTCTGTTTCTGTTCTGTCTCTGCTTGCTTAACATTCCCTTCCTTGTCTCCTCCTTCTTTAACCCCAAACCCCCTTCTGCTCCTCCCGGCAGACTTTATACTGTCTCTCCTCCCCCAGTGCCTTATTTTGCCAAGCCCAGGAAGCATGCTGCTGCCCTAACCTCATCTAGTATGTGAACAGTTCGTGTTCTACCTTCATACTGCTCATGCTGCTATTCATTCAGCCCTGTATTTTCGTTTCAAATTTATCATTTTTCAAACCCTCACTTCATCTTAAACAGTAATAGCTGTGAAAATCTGTGTTTGGTGTATTTCCCCCTCATACTTCTTGAATCTGTAAGGAAAAACAAAACCTGCGCTTTCTAAACATTATCTCCAGGGTCAGGAGTGGCAGGACCACCCTGGAATGAGGCGGTGAATTGCCTGGCACCCGGTGCCGCAGAGATGAGGTGCTCTGTAAACTCAAATCCTCCTCTTTCCCCGCTCCCTCTAGCCCTTCCCAGGCCTCCCAAGCGCCAGGCCGAAGCTCACTCACATGTTGAAGAGGTTGAGGCCGATGCGGTAGAGCCGCTTGCGCAGGGTGTCGGTAGAGAGAGTGGGCGACTTGCAGCTGGCCGGGTTTTCGCAGTGGTAGCGGGGCAGACTCAGGATCATGGCCTGCAGGGCCTCCTTGGATGCCACGGCCGACACCTCCGAGCCCGACTTGGCCGACTTGGTGGATGTGCTGCTGCTGCTCAGCTGCTCCG